CCCTCTGCGCTCGCGGGACCAGCCGCTCTTGCCCTTGCCTGAACTATCAGAGTCCGAGCGCCAGGCGTGTGCGCTGGGAACGCATCTCTTCCTCCTCTGCCTCGAGCTCTTCACCAGAGTCCATATCAGAGGGGGCTGGGCAGGACAGGAACACCCTCAGGATCCAGGTCGTCATCCTTTCCCGTCTTTTTGGATTGCTCAGGAAGTGGTGGAGTGGATCTCAGAGTTCGGTTTGTACGTGGTCTCGTTCGATCAGTGTCGGCATGGATCGTTATCTCAGAAGCCCACGTCCGTTGTCACTAATGACGCCCGAGCCGCCGCTGTCTTGGGACTTCGCTGCAATCATCGACACCGTCACAAGGGCGTGTACGGCCTGGCCCCGAACGGAGGTTTCGTCACCGCTCAGTTGGCTCGCTACCCTCCGCAGCTGTGTCAGGCTCTGGCTCGCTTGGCGGTCAACGCGCTCGTCGCCCATCAGCAGCACCTCAGCCATGGCCGACGATCCTGGCAGGCGCCGTGGGCGCATCATTACCTTCTTGATGAGCGCGCTCAAGCCAGTGACGACCGACAGGTACGCCGCCGCACTGTGCGATTTCAGCTCTGACCTGGAGGCGCTGGGCTACGGCATCCACGACTCACTGAGGAAGAGCTCGATTGGTTCCTGGCCGAACGAGTGGTGGATATGTTCGAGGAGTCTGGCGGGGTGGACGGGCTCGGGACTGCCTCAACCCTGCTGGCCGCCTTCGCGAAGGCGAATCCTCGGCACCACTACCGCACGGCCTGGAAGGCGCTGGACGTCTGGCGCACCCGCAGGCCGCCTCTGCAGGCGCCCGCCTTACCAGCGGTGCTGGCGCTGGGCATCGTGAACTGGCTCGTGCTGGCTGGAGAGTGTGGCTGCGCCGCCGCCGTGCTGCTGTGCTTCACTGGGTTGCTGCGAGCGTCCGAGGCGCTCTCCTTAGACGGCGCGACCTGGATCAGGACCGTGACAGGGTACGTTGCGCTGCTCGGCCGCACTAAGAGAGGGGCAGAGCAGAAGGTCCTGTTCGAGGAGCCGTCCACCGTGACCTGGCTGGATCACTACATGCTGCGCTTTCCCGCCAGAGCCGGGCAGCGAGTGTGCCCCATCTCGTACCCGCGGCTCCAGCGGTGGCTTCAGAAGGCCGCCAACGCGCTGGGCTTCGGGGCTGTTCACTGGACTTCTCATGGGCTGCGCCGTGGGGGAGCCACTGAGCTGCTGTCACGGGGCGCGCCGCTAGCGGACATCATGCTTTTCGGTCGCTGGCTCTCGGAAAGATCTGCTCGTGAGTATCTTCGGCGCGGGGAGGTGAGTCTCACTCGCTTGCGCGTTGACATTGCCAAGTCGTCATGGTCTCTTGCCTACAGGTACTGTGCAGTTGGAGCCCAGGTTTGGGCTGTAGTCTGAGTTTCAGTCAGTTTCTTCTTCTCCGATTTTTGTTTCGTAGCTTTCGCTGGATAGGGGAAGGTGGCGAGGCATTGGCCTACGCAGGCCAGCTTGGTGCGATCGTGATCGCACTCCACCTTTGAAAAATAATCTGGTACGCTTCGCGTGCGCCATCCCCTGTGAAGGGTCGGAGAGGTGGTTGTAGGTGACGTTCTGAAATAGATAGAGCTTGCTGGATAGTTTTCGGAATGCCAGGTTTCTCATCCAGCCTCGTCTCGACGTCCGTGCTCCTGGAATGGGCTGCCTTTGATGTTCTGCCAGCCTCTCTTTCAGGATTCACGCTCGTAATCATTCTGGCCCTGCTGCGCTCCCACCCACCCGTGGTGGTCACCGACAACAGTGTGGAGTGCGCGGAGCCTTGCACTGCTCCTTCAACGGCGAGGCATTGGCCTACGCAGGCCAGCTTGGTGCGATCGTGATCGCACTCCACCTTTGAAAAATAATCTGGTACGCTTCGCGTGCGCCATCCCCTGTGAAGGGTCGGAGAGGTGGTTGTAGGTGACGTTCTGAAATGAGTATTACGAATACGAGTCTGAGTCCGACTGGGTCTGAGTTCGAGCGAGTCTGTCTACGAGTGAGCCTTCCCGAGGACACAGGGAGTTCCTCGGGAGGCCCGCGGGCTTCTGAGAAGCCCCTCCAGCTTCTGAGAAGGCCTGCTCCCCAGACCCCCGAAGTCATGTTGTCTCGACCCCGTTCCCCAGGACCGGTTTCTCATCCCGAGCCGTTGTTTGACGGTCCCGAGGCTTGGTGAGGGCCCCCAGGGGCTGAAAATCGAGCGACAGACTCTGTAGGGGAAACCCTGGAACAGAAAAAAAACAGTTTTGTGTTTGTCCTGTTTTTTTTTGTTCTGGCGTGCTTTCTCGTGCCTCGAGGGGGCCTGGGCCTCCAGCTGCAGCTGGAGGCCTCCTCCTGCCCACAGTCCCCCCTGGACGTGCCGCCGAGAGCTGCCCCGCCGGCGGGCGGCACGCGGTGGCGGGCGGGCCTGGGAGGGGCCACTCGCCTCGCGGGCACAGCCCTCGGCTTCCACAAGGCAGGTCGAGGCCCGCCTGGCCACCCGGAGGAGGAGGAGGAGGAGAAGGAGAAGGAGGAGGAGGAGGAGGAGGAGGAGGAGGAGGAGGAGGATATGGAGGAGGAGGGGGGAGGAGGAGGAGGAGGAGGGAGGGGAGGAGAAAGAGGAAGAGGAGGAGGAGGAGGAGGAGGGTGAACTCGGCCATAGCTGTTTGCGACTGGCCTGTAGCAGGAAAAGAAAACGCGGTGGCGGGTGGGCGGGGCCTCCCTTGCGGGGTGCGGCGCGGGGCCGGCTGCCCCGGCGCTGCACGCAGGAGGGGGACCCTTCGTCGGAGGGACCTCTGCTGGTGCGGGCTCGTCGGGGCCCCCCCGGCTGCGGAGCGCGATGCGGTGGCGGCTGCCTGCGGCCAAGGCGAGGACTTGTGCATGGCCGCCGCCTGGAGGATCCGTTTTCGGGGACCTCGCAGGCGGTGGATATGGACATGGATATGGATATGGATATATCTATAGATATACACTTATATATATATATATATATATATATATATATATATATATATAGTCGGACTCCGGGGGCCACAATGTGTCCATATCCACCGCCCGCAGGGGCACCGGGACGTCGTTTCCCAGGCCGTGGATATGGATCAATCCCCGCCTCGCACTGCGCGCTTGGATTTGGCCACCCTGCGCGCACCACGTGGCGTCCTTGCCCAAGGTCACTCATGCGTGCAGCCGGTGTTCTGCGATTCGGAGGGCCGGTCACTGGGACTGTTTGGGTCGAGAGGTCTGGCGGACCGCGTCGCACCCGCGAGTTGAACAACAAAAAGCATGAACATAGACTCTGGGGAACAACAAGAAGCATGAACAACAAGTTGAGCAACAAAAATACTATGGGGACGATGTTTTGACCATTTTTGAGTATTGTTTTAAGCTTTTTTGGGAGGGGGGCTATTTTTGGTTTATCCTCCAATATCCGCCTGATGTCGGGACATCCCCGACCTAAGTCTTGGCGGTCCGCGCGGATGCCTTGGACCTGCGTTGGGAAAACCCCTGGCGGCACCTCCGGTGCCGCCCTTGGCGCGCTCCGCGCGCCAGTGGGGGGGGGGCTCTAGCTCAGATCCAAGAGGTCCGCGCGGACCGTCAAAAGCTCATGCTCATACAGTTTTTCTTCTACGCAGTATTCACATCGGAGCTGCGTCTCGAAGAGAAAGAAAGTGCACTGCAGACACAAGCTGTTGGAGTTCTGCGCGGATCTCGAAGATCTGCGCTTGTCTCCCCGGACTTCGCCTTTGGCGCCGCTCCTGGCGCGCTCCGCGCGCCAGGGAACACGCGCCGATCCAAGACATCCGCGCAGACCTCCGAACGTTTGTGTTTGTACAGTTATTTATTCCTCTAATATCGGGCCGAACGAAAGGGGTGGATAGGGAAAGGGGCGGTTACGAAGTCTGCTGCATGCAGCTGGTTTCGGCCCCGCCGCCGGGCCCAGTCCTCGGTACATGGGTGTCTCCCGGCGCCGGGAGGCGCTGGGAAAATCAGCTACCTGAGCTGATTCTCTACCCTACCCTTTGCTATCCCCCCCTTTCGTTCCCCCGATAGTAGTGCCGGCTCCCCCGCCAGCCCTGAGCCGGTCGGGACACGGGGGAGTTCAGCACGGGAGAGGGGGGGGGAGCAGCGGCAAGGGGAGGGTCGGATCGGAGGAAGGCCCACGGTCCATTGGCAAGAGAGCCTCAACGTGCTTACGTCGCAGCTTCGGGGGGCCTCGCCTGTGCTGTAAATGGCCGATTCTGCTCTGGCGTCCGACGTGTGTCCGATGGACATTCGGCACGAGGTCGGCATGGATTCGACGCGGCTTCGACGCGGATTCGACGCGGACAGCGGCACGATGGGACAGACAAGGTGGCGGAGGGCCCGCTTGAAGCAAGCAGGGGGAGAAGCAGGAGGAGGAGGAGGGTGACCCTCTTCCTCTGCCTCCTCTTCTTCCTCCTCCGTCTCCTCCTCCTCTTTTGATTCAGTGCCTCGCTGCAGCTTCCGTGCTTCGGTGTCGTCGGGAAGAAGAAGGTCAGAAGAGTAATAAGAAACATAAAAAGAAGAAGTGTGACTCTGAGATATCGGCGTCACTTTTTCCACACCTGGCGTTTTCGCCCAGATCTGGCCCTGGGGCGTTAGCAGTTCGATTTGGCTGGGGAGATGCCGCGGAGAGATTCAGTCTAGGGTCCAGGGCACCAGATATGATTTCGCCCACGGTGTTGCATGTATCCGCCACGTCGGATCTCAGGGGACGGCGGAGGAGGTGGCAGAGGAGGATCACCAGCAGGAGGGGGAGTGGAGAAGCAGGAAACGACTCCGACGCCAAGGACGAGGACGAGGACCAGGAGAGGGGGCAGGTAGAGGGAGGGCTTGCTCCCCTTCGCTGCAGCATCGCCCGTCACGTTGGCACTGAACGCCGGGGGTAACCCGTTCGCTTGGGCAGGGAGGACGAAGACGAGGGCAGCCCGGCCGGCGAGCCAACGATCGTGGCCCCCCCGCGCAGGACGCTCGAGACTCTGGCGGAGAAGCACAGGCAGCAGCTGGAGGCCTGGCGTGGGCGGGCACCACCTGGAGGGCAGATCCCTTGGGGGCCTCACCTTTCAGGGGGAAAAACAAACACAGACACAAATGATCGTCGAATCCACGGAAAATATAGGAAATATGTCGGAGGTTGATAGACCTCCTACCCAAACACGTCGATTAGCGAATTGGCCGTTTTCGGTTCGCGAGAGGGCGTCGCGGCCGTCATTTTTGCGGGTCCAGGTCTGTCGGTTTCGGTCCTGGGCCGTGTTCACTAAAGGGAGGTTTACTAAAGGGAGGCTTGTCCACCGCCGAATCTGGGAAAAATTGAAGGGGAAGACGAAAGTGCAGAAAGAATTGGAAATTTGGGAATCTTGGCATGTGTGTATATTTATTATTTGTGTGTCCCGTGGCCCCTTCAGAAACGATCGGGCCGTTTTCCCTCCGCTTTCGTGTTGCAGGTTTTGTTTCCGGTTCCAGCGCCGTTTTTTTCTCCAGTTCCGTCGCCGTATTTGTGTTTCCAGGTCTAGCTCCAATCCCGGAGCTGTGTTTTTCTTGTTTCGGCGGGCCGTTGTTTGTTCCCGTTCTCATACTCGAGGTCAATTTTGCTGGCAACAGGAAAGATCACGGCGCTGACGTTTCCAATAACCATTAAAGGCCCCACCATGGCCGAGGGTGCGTCTGGATATTGGGGGATGCAGTTGACACGAGGGTTTGCAGCAACTTTGGCTTTGGAGGAGCCCTTGTGTATTGGGCTCCCCACCTTGGGGAGTGTTCTTGGTTTGGGGTACCTCCATGAGACCGGCATTAGAGCATTCGGCGAAGGCGCCCGTGTGTGTGTGTGAGCAATAATGACAGATAGTGTACGCCCTGGGGATTTGGGCGCCTTTGCTTGCGTTGCCTCCAGGTTCCGGGCTGTTGATCAGACTGGCGGGACCAACACCGATGGCACCGCCACTCTCCAGGATAGGGGGGGCGGTAACCAACAAAAACAGCAAGGTCAGTTCACGAAGGCGGCCCAGAGTCTCTGGGTCGCCCTTGACCCCATTCAACGCTCCCTGGGCCAGAGAGCATTGACTGGTTACCAGGTTTGGTCCGACAGGTGTCCCTTTGATTGCGTGTTTGCCCCCGTGGTCGGGCCGCGGGCCACCCGCAAGAGCGGCCCTGACGGAGTGACCTTCGGTTCGCGGCTTTCGGGAGGCCGGGAGGCGCGATGGGATGCCAAGCGCGCAAGCCGAAGGCGCATGATCAGGGGCGGGCCCTTTTTCTTGGCATCGCTCGGACGTGTGCATTTTTCCTTCGGCGAGAACCATCGAGGAGCATCCTTGATCTTTTGGGGAAAAAACCACGCACGAAACCGAAAAAAACACAGGGAATGGACGTCCGAGCGATGGCCAGTTTTCCACGCGACATCGACGGGCTCCGTCGCCAAACCTGGTGGCCCCAGCTTCACGCTTCGGGGGTGTTGTCCCCGATCCCTGCGAGCGTGTCGTTCCAGGTGGAGGCCCCGACACCACAAGCATGTCCGTGCGCGCAAATCGCCTGCTTCCCTCCGATGGGAAGGGGACCCCTCTCTGCTGCAGCCAGTTAGGGAGGAGGACGAGGACGAGGACACAAAAGACGACAACGACGACAATGAGGAGGAGTAACTGGGAGGCTACGCATGCTCGCAGGCGCTTGGCGACGAGACAGCAGATACAGAGCACGCGCAGACTGCGGTGCAAAACTGCCTGCAGAGAGGGAGGAGGGGCCCTGGAGGAGGCCGGAGCGGGGCCAGAGAGCGTGAGCGCTGCATGCGTATGTAATTGGGGCCACCCCCGCGTGTAGCTGAATAGTCTTAAGTCGGGCTTGTCCCCCTACAGGAGGAATACACAAGAATAGTCAAAAAATAGCCTGGGGACTATTTTTTTAGTATCGTTGGGCATCTTTCTTGCGCATTTTTGGGGTATTTCTTATTCTTCGTCCAAGATCCCCCTGTATGGGGGACAGGCCCGACCTAAGTCGGGGGTGGACAGACCTCCTACCCTGACACGTCGATTCAGGAATTGGCCGTTCTCGGCTCGCGAGAGGGCGTCGCGGCCGTCACTCTTGCGGGTCCAATGTCCGTCGGTTTCGGTCCCGGGCCGTGTTCACTGAGGGGAGGTCTACTCAAGGGAGGCTTGTCCACCGCCGACCTAAGAACAGTCCTCCCGCCACCTGGCCGCCCTCCCTGGCCCCCGAGCGCTCCGTGCCTCCACCGCCCGGTCTCCCCGGCCCGCGGGGCCGGGCCTTGGCCCCCGCCCCCCACGGCCTGCCCGCACCGCTGGCACGGCCGGCACGATGTCTTCGGGGGGGGGAGGGCGGGGCAGCAGGACGGCAGGTCGTCGTCGTCGTCGTTTTCCTAGCTCCTCCTCCTAGCTCCTCCTCCTCGTCCTCCTCCTCCTCGTCCTCCTCCTCCTCATCCTTCTCCCCTCCTCCTGCTCCTCCTCCTCCTCCTCCTAGCTCCTCCTCCTCCTTTTCCTCCTCCTCCTCCTCCTCATTCTTCTCCTCCTCCTCCTCCTCCTTCTCCTCCTCCTCCTCATAGCTCCTCCTCCTGCTCCTTCTCCTCCTGGCTCCTCCTCCTCCTCCTCCTTTTCCTCCTCCTCCTCCTCCTCCTCATCCTTTTCCCCTCCTCCTCCTCCTCCTCCTCCTCCTCCTCCTCCTCCTCCTCCTCCTCCTAGCTCCTCCTCCTAGCTCCTCCTCTTGCTCCTCCTGCGAGCAGCAAGAACCCAGCGGGAGGTGTCTTGGGCCGTTTGCGGCCCTCGGCGCGGACGCCGCCCGTCCAGGGGGACGTGGTGTGACAACTTTGCCCAGGATGAAAAAATATCCCGATAGTAGTGCCGGCCCCCCCGCCAGCCCTGAGCCGGTCGGGGCGCGGGGGAGTTCAGCACGGAAGTGGGGTTGGGGAGGAGCGGCAAGGGGAGGGTCGGATCGGAGGAAGGCCCACGGTCCATTGGCAAGAGAGCCGATTCTCTATCCCACCCTCCGCTATCCCCCCCTGTCGTTCCCCCCGAATGTCTTTCCGGCGCCGGGGTTTCGCAGGCCGGGCACGCGAGGCTTCGCAGGCGTGTGCAGCGCGCGTGGCCTCCGCGCGTGGACGCGGCCGTGCGCCAGGTGAGTGCTTCCGGCTGCCTGGTGCCAGCCGCCAGCGGAACGCAGGGTACTCGAACAGTGGCGAAGCGTCCTGGCGTCCCTATAGCCCCACCAAACAAAGTTCTAAGAACCTTTTGTGGTCTGCGAGGTTTTCTTTGTTTTCGAATATTTCTGTGTTCTAAGAACATGTCGTGGTAGGACCATAGGAATGCTGGAACGGTCGGTCCCTGCTCAAGGTACGCACGACAGCAAGAGAGGCGTCTCCAACCGAGGCAGACCTCGTCTGAGCAGTCCCAATCCCTTCACGTCTTCCTGCCTCCTGCCCCCGCCCCCTCCCCCTATATTCTCCGCCGCCGTTCCTCGTTGTCGCGGCTGCGCCCGTGGAATGCCCGCGCTGTCCTCCTCCTCCTTCTCCTCCTCCTCCTCCTCCTCCTCCTCCTCCTCTTCCTCCTCCTCCTCCTCCTCCTCCTCCTCCTCCTCCTGCTTACCGCACCCCACGAGTCTCGGGACCCACCCAGTTGTTCTGCCTCCCCCGAGGTCCCCTCGAGCACCCATGGCGGTGCCCTGCCTGCCTTTTTCCTCCCCTCTGACCTCTGGGACTCCTGCAGGGCACAAGTGGGCTACACGGACTCCGCTGGCGCCTCGGATGTTCTTCTTGCCATTGCCAACTCTGCTGCGTTTGCGGTTGGGGGACCACATATTCTACGTCTGGGAGCTCTTTATGGATCTTGGGTAAAAGCTTTGGAGCGTACCGTCTGTATTCACCATGGGACGAATCTAGCGGGGCCTTCCAGGGACTCAGGGCCTAAGTACACCGTCACCGAGGTTAAAGCTCCATCTAAAGTTCGGGAACAGCCTCTTCATGATCAGGTGTCGTCTTGGTGGGGCAGGGTCACCACAGTACTGACCAAGCTCAGCTTGCATCGTTCTCGTGGCAACGGACCCATACAGCAGCAGCAGCTCGTGGAGGCGTGTTCGGCCTTGGCAGGGGACCAGCCAGACAGCGTACACGTGCCTCTCGCTTCGTTTGCCGACCCGACCGTGGCCTCGTGGAGCGAGTGGCAAGCTCGGCTACTAACGGTCGCCGACATGCCTGATGCCAGCCTGCACGAGATGGCTGTCACGGCCAAGCGCATCACAGGTCGAGCTCGTCGACGGGCTTTGGGGGCGTCTCTTAAGGAGTTTAGTGCTTGGATTTCGACCTCGGAGGCTCCTGGGATCCTCCACAAGGCTCTTAAAAAGACCCCCCCTGTCCCCGATGAGCTCGTAGTCGACGGCCAGGTTATGTATCATCCCCTGGACATCGTTGATAGCAAAGCCAGTACGTGGAAACAGCTCTGGGGCCCAAGGGAACCCGATCTACACGATGTCCAGGAAGTATTCCACGAAATTCGTGAAGTTGCTCGGCACGAACGCCTCGAGCCACTTTCCCACGACAGAGTCCGTCAAGCGCTACATTCCATGCGAGCTAAGACAGGACTCGGGGTTGACAAACTCACCCCGTTAGATATGGAGCGTTTGCCTTTTGCTGGAGTTTCGGAGCTCGCTGGGCTTTACAATGCCTGCGAGGAATGCCTCTCCTGGCCCTGGCAGGTTCTCCTGGTCGCGGGGAAGCTTTTAGGGAAAAAATCGGGTTCTGACCGCGTTATTGGTCTCATGTCTATGTTTACCAGGACTTGGTCTCGTGCTCGGGAGGACGACGTCCGTTCTTGGTCTCAGGACTCCGAGCCTGCGTGGGGCGCCGCAGCGGCGGGGAACTCGGCGCTCCGCGAGGCCTTCGTCCGCGCTTTGAAGGACGAGGCCATGCACAACTTGGGGATCGCTTTCGGGGAGGGCCTCGTAGACATCAAGGGGTTCTACGATGAGATGCAGTGGGGTCCTCTGGCTCGGGCCGCTCTCAGGCTTGGGGTCCCTCCTGAGGTTCTCTTCTTGGAACTACAGATGTGTGCTGCACCTCGTACGGTCTCTCAGTTGGGGTCCTACTCCGAGGCCTTCCAGGTCGTCCAGAGCATCATTCAGGGGCTCAGGTCTGGGACGCGTTTCGGGCGATGTATGATCTATTTCATCATGAGTAAGATTACAGTGGCACATCCGTCTATGTCTGTTCGAGTTTGGGTTGACGATATTAATGAGCATGTCGCTGGCTCTCGGAAAGCAGTTCGAGAGAAGTTATATCAAGGCGTGCTCGACACGTGTCGGTCCCTTGTGGCGCACGGCGTGCTTGTGTCACCCAAGAGCGCCATCATGTGCACCAACGCCTCTGACAGCAAAAGTGTTGTCCAACGCCTTCGGCGTCGGGGTTTTCATCTGCAGCATGCTCTTCAAACCACTCTCCTCGGGGCTGATCTTGGGGCTGGTCGCGTAGCACGGGCCTCTCGGACCAAACGGGTGGCTGAGGCGAAGGGCATGAATTTTAGGATTTGTAAGTTCGGTCGGGCTTCCAGGAAGTATCTCAGGACTGGATTACTTGAACGTGTCGGGGCGCAAGCTGCAGGCAGCTACGGGCACCAGATTGTGGGGGCTTTCGGTACCTTTCGGCAGCAGTGCAGACGTCGCCTCGGTCACACGCTTTCTTCGGCCACGCGCGGTCGGTGTTTAACTACGGTTCTCGATCTGCGGGCCGACGGACATGATCCTGGGTACAAACTTCCGAGGGAATGTTTTCAGTTATGATTACGCACTTGGTTCCAGGATCCGTCGCTCCGACCCGCAGTTCGCGCGGCTTGGCCGCGCGTAGTTGCTCAGTTTCGGCAGATGGAGCCTCGGCAGGTTTCACAGGCAGTGCGGGGGCCCATCTCCGCCATGGTCGCATCTCTTCTTGAGTTCGGATGGGATCCAGTATCACCGAGCGAGTGGCACACACCAGCTAGCGATGACG